CTTAAACCTATTAGCACTGCAGGGGAGTTTGTGTGTGTGTGCGTGTGTGTGTCCTGTACCAAGCTGGTCCAAGTGCTCTGTTAATTTGATCACTTTTTTGATAAAAGCCCACTGTGCTGCCCACTACTTATATTTACAGTGTTTAACATACAAACATTGTACTCAGTGTTGGAGAGTTGAAATCAGTCTCATTGAATTTTAAGTTATTAGAATCTAAGGTCACCCGTAGTAATCCCATAGTTGGAGAGCTACCTTTATTTACTTTTGTACGCACAGATGGTGTTTTCTCACAGCGGCCTGTTATGAATTTATTCAGTTTGACAGAGTTGTGCTTTGAGCTGCCCATGTTAACCACAGTATTATACCAATGTGCAATTGTGCATTCAGCATTTGTGTGTTTAATATTTAATGTTCTTCCATGTGTTTTGATTTTTCTAAAAAAAAAAAAAAAAAAAAAAGTCATGTCACTCTGCAAAATTTCACTGTGCTATAACCAAGCTATGCAAAACACTCACCAGAGCCAACGCAAAGTGCAGACATTGGAAAGAAAAGTTTGCAGACATCTCTAAGCAGTCCTGTGAAAAACTAAATACATCCTATGATTTGTAGAACCAATTTTAGCAACACAAATGTGAAGAGTCATTTTCTGTATGACTTGATCAACCCCTCAAATGAAAAATAAACAACATACCATAAACATAGGTGTTCACAGCCTGTGCTCAGTACTTTGTTGAAGCACCTTTGGCAGCGATTACACTCTCAAAACCTGTGGTTGTGATGCCACATGCTTGACACACCTATTTCTAGCCCATTTCTCCCATTTGTCTTTGCAGTACTGCTCCAGCTTCATCAGGTTCGATGGGGAGCGTCCGTGCACAGCCAATTTCAGATATTTCCAGAGATGTTCAAATGAGTTCAGGTTTTTTACCTTCAAGTCTGTGACAATCACACAATGATATTGAAGCCACTCCTTTGTTATCTTGGCTATGTGCTTAAGGTGGTTGTCCTGTTGGAAGATTAACTTTAACCCCAGTCTGAGTTCCAGAGCGCTCTGGAGTCGGATGTCTCTGTACATTGAAGCATTCATCTTTAGTCTCCCAGTTTTTGCTGATGATAAACCTCCCCACAGTATTATGCTGCCACCACTATGCTTCATTTAGGAACGGTATTGGCCAGGTGATGAGTGCTGCCAATTTCCTCTAGACATGATGCTTGGCATTTAGGCCAAAGAGTTCTACCCTTAAACTGGGGGATTTTGTTTCTCATAATTTGAGTGTCCTTCAAGGCACCTTTTGGAAAACTCCAGGCAGACTGTCACGTGCCTTTTACAGAGGAGTAGCTTCCGTGAGGCTTTATCATACAGGCCTGATTGGTGGAGTGCTGCAGAAATGGTTGTTCTCCAGGAAGGTTCTCCTCTCTCCGCTGAACAACGCTTGAGTGACCGTCCTTTTCACTTGCCAACTAAGAACCATTTAACCTGATTGCTTAGACTGGCTTTGGAGCCAGCTCTAGGAAAAGTCTTGGTGGTTTCAAACGCCTTCCATTTGTGGATGATGGAGGCCATTGTGTTCACTGAGACCTTCAATGCTACAGATTGTTTCTGTACCTCGATGCAATCCTGTCTTGGTCTTTTTCTTGGACTCCATGGCTTCATTTGTGCTCTGACATACACTGTCAACTATGGGACCTTATAAAGACAGGCACACCATCCAAATTATGTCCAATATACTGAAGTGGACTACAAGTTGTAGAAACATCTAATATCTGATCAGTAGAAGCAGGATGATACTGAGCTTGATTTGCAATTTTCAACTGATCTTCATGTCAAAGACTGTGAATAGTCATGTACAGGTTTTATTTGTTTTTCATTGTAAATACATTTGCAAAGAAATCAAGCAAGTTTTTTCAGTATGGGTCATTGTATGTAGAATTTTGAGGTAAAAAAAACTTTGAATACTAAGTTTCAGTGTGTTTTAAAAAATTGATGTGCATATTTCCCATTTTCCAAGCAAAGTCTGAAGTAATGAGATACTCAATACTTTTGCATAGCACTGTATGTTAAATGGCCTGCATTTGTATAGCGCTTTACTTAGTCCCATTCACACACACATTCACACACTGGTGATGGCAAGAAGAGATGGGCAGTAACGCGTTACTGTAATCTGATTACTTTTTCAAGTAACAAGTAAAGTAAGGGATTACTATTGCAAAAACTGTAATTAGATTACCGTTACTTTCCCGTAGGAACACTGCGTTACTACGTTACTAAAACCGTGATTTTTTGCGAGAATGTCTCACGACAGTGATGTAAGCGAGTGCGCCGTTAGTGACAGCAGCTGTGTGCAGATCAACAATGGATCACATATCGATTGTGGGAGAGAATATGAGCGTGCAGCGTTTAAAGCGTGCAATTACTGACCTTACTTTGAGTTTGATTCCATAAAAAGTGACAAAAACATTAGCGTCCATCGTGCGTGGGAAGAAAACTTCTTTTTACAGCGAAAAAAAACCCCTAAACTTCCGGGAAATTCACAGAGAAATTCGCGGATTCTTCAACTGACCGCAGCACACCTGCACCAGGGTAAACCTCCGCTTACCCTGCTCCTGCTTTACAGGTGAAAATAGAGCAACAGGACCGCTGAGTCCAGTAATTAGTTACTGATTACTTTTTTCAAGTAACTTGACCAACACTGATGGCAAGCTACATTGTAGCCACAGCTGCCCTGGGGCGCACTGACAGAAGCGCCCCAGGGCAGCGTTGTATACCATAGATATACATACATATATTGTCTTCATTTGTTTTATCAAACTGCTACTGTATTTCAGTTTTCTTTTTGATTTTTTCAGTTTAAATTTTCTTTAAAAGTAACAACACAGAATAGTGTATATTAAAACACAAAAACTAGACTGCATTTGCAGATTCTCTGAATGTTCTTGTCTCCTGATTTCCACACGGAAAAGAGGATGGATCAGAAAAAGCAGAGAGAAAGGGTAAACAAGGCAATAAATTGAAAGAAAAAGTTGTAATAAGAAAATTATGTATTTATGCATACAATATGTGAGCATGCCACTTTCCCACAGACTGCAGTACTAAACGGAGTCCATCCCTGTGACCTCTGTGGTACAGTGCAGCAGGCGGGTCAAACCAGATCAATATATCAGTGACTCTTATCCTTGTTGTGTATTCAGATGAAAGGAAACACAACTCCATTAGACATTTAGGTATTACACAGACAGTAAGGAAAACTACATGTAGTGAGTCCTAGTAGGACTGCACAGGGATGATGTGGTGTCCTTATATTTTTTAAAACTTCATAGCTTTCATTTTTTACCATATTTAAATGTGGTTAAATAAGGTAAAGGTTTGTGTTCAGGAATTTAAAATCAATCGCAACACCTGTTTGAATGCAGAACTAACTGATGATTACGGATTGCTTGCTTGATGGATGGATCAATGGAAACAGAGGAAACAAAGTTGTTTTTTATATATAAATCTGTGTCTGTGTTTGGGGCTTGTAGAAAAACACAAGGCATTAGCAGAAGGGGCGGTGCAGCTGATATTTTAACGCCTGTTTCTGTGCACTCACCTGGAGAGCCTGATAAGATGGTCTCCATCTAAATCAGCTGCACAGCAGGTGCAGCTCCACAGGCTGCCAGTCAGCCTGCTTCCCCCAGCTGGGAGCTTTGCTCATGGGGATGTTGGCAGCAGGGATCTGGGCACCACAGCTTGAGTTGAGGATGTCTGCTACATCCTTCAAATTGACTGGCTTGCTGTTCTGTTAACCTATAGGAGTACTGTGTACATACAAATCACACCACTGCCTACTTGTTGCATACTTAATGTGTTGATCCTTTTTGTCCCTGTCTGTGTGTTCTGTTTGTAGGCAGTGCCGAAGCCCATAGCCATGGAGCCATGCTGGGGAAGCAGAGCAGGTGTTCTCACAGTGCTACTGTACCTGCCCAGAATCCCATCTGGAATACCTCCACCTGGACAGTCTGGTAAGATCCTTAGACAGTAATAGACAATATGCAGTACAGTATGTTTTATGTTCAAAAGATTGAGAAATTCTAAGAGTGATGGGCGGTATTTGCAATGTTATTTAAGGACCTGAACCTTCTGCATACATCACTGCAAATTTCTAGTAAACTTCTGCAGTGTTGTGCATGGATTTATTTTTTATTTCTTTGTTTAGGGAGGGGAGTGGAGTAGTAATTTCCATCTAATTCTAATTTGTTGTTTGTTTTTTTCCTTCCAATATATTGTCCATTAAAGTTTTACACAGTTTCTCTATAAGAAAAACAAAAAACTGCTGCCTTGGCCATATTTTGTGCTGGCAAATTTTAGAAGGCAGGTTGTACATAAAGAATAGCTGCAGTAGTTGCAACTATCAACACAGTATTTATGTCCACACATCCATCTCCAACGACCTAAGTTGCTTTTTCGTGATCAAATATAACAAATACAAAGCCCCACACTGGTTATTTCTCTGCTTTCATTTGATTCTCACCGCTGTAAACTAACAGCTGTTTCTGAAACCTGAATTCCTTTGTTACTGCCACAGAAAGCATTCACACCATTATGTGATCTTTTACAAGGTGAGCTGAACGATGTTTCAAAAAGATCCAGATGCAGCAAGCTGTGCTTCATATGTGCCTCGCAGCAGCTCCCCATCAGCTTTTTTGTAGAACAGGCTGTGGCATTATAATCAAAAGCAGAATAAACACTAAAATGTGATGGCATCAATGGCATCATCAAAAGGATGTCTTGATGTTTCTTGGTTGCCACCATTAGAACAGACTGCTGCCATGAGCAGAGCAGAAGGGTAGCTTAGTAGTTTGTTTCTAAGTCATTTAATAGCCCAAAGGTTAAATCTTCAATCCCTGATCTTACGCTCAATCATGGCAGAGCAAAAACGTGTTCTACTTACACTGAGTTTAATGTTGAAACTGTAAACCTAGAGGTAGGGCTCACAGTATCCTGTGTGCAGAGTCTGTGCAGGTTATGCTCTGCATCAATCTGTGGCAATTAAGGGAGAAACAGCGCCGTTTCATTATTCCTCATCCAATAGTGTTTAGTTCAGCACATGTAAATCGGGATTCGAAGTGTACCCACTGACGTTAGTAAAATACAAATCTGGGATTTAATTAATTTTTTCTTAAGTTGTTCTTTTGTTAATATTTGGAGCAACACAAGAAAATCTTAAGCAGGTTTTAAGAATCCCATCTATAGCTTCAAGACTTCTAAAGAGATCTAAAACCCTCAAGTGTCCTAGACTTAAGTTTTCCCATTATGATGGCAACACAAATAAGGTTTAGTCAGGAAAAGATCAAAGCAATGGCAGATAAAAAATGAGACCAAGTAAAAATGTATCTTATAGGGTTGAACAACAAAATAAAAAGTGCATTCAAATCATGATTCTGATAGCAAAAGATCCGAGACAAGACGGGCTTAAAAAAAAAAAGCAGCTCCTTTGTTGTCCAGTATCCAGGAATCCTGCGGTCCAACCAAATTTAAATGTGTTGACTTTACCTAATTTCATGTTGAGTTGATATTTCTAGCAACTGTTTATCACATAACCAGCAATACGCTTGTTCATTTCCTCTTGGAGTCCCAGCTTTAGCCAACACAGTTCCTTTCCCCTTCCTATGGAGCTGCAGATGTTTAGATTGCAGATGTTTCTTGTCTTTCATGTATCTCTTTGTATCTGATGCACACACATTAGAGATATAGTGTTTGATCTACTAGAAAAATGTTCAAAATGTATGTTTTTTTCTTTAAATCAAGATATTAAAATGTCCTTAATTTTAGTATGTGAAGAATAATGAATTATTCAGAAAGACTCTTGACATATGGCATGTTAAAGTTGGTCTGATGTGGTTAGACCTGCCTGGTTTTCCTCCAACACTTACTGTTGGATCAATTGTTCCCCTCAATGAGACATCCTGACTTTCCGCTGTCTGAGCTCATGTTGCACTATAGACGGGTGACATGCGATATCCCCAGGTCGCTCCAGTCGACCACCAAACAGCTGTGGAAATCAGTGTAAAGACAGCAGTGCTTTCTTTGAGACCTGACCAAAGCTTGCAGGGATGTGCACTGTCAGCATGAGGTCAATCTTCTCTCTCTCCAGCTCATCTTCCACCTCAGTCAACCTTTCATACTTTTCTCGCTCAGGCATATATATTTAATCTCCCCTTGTATTTTCCTTTCCCCCTACAGCCTTTTGGTTGAAGTAGACTGTATGTAACTGAAGCTGGTGTGGGAGGCTTTTGCTCCTCCAGGCAGGAAGTGTTGCCTTCAATGCGATGAGTACCTTGATGACGAAAACAAACAGAGCAGACAGAAAATTGACCACTTTGCAAGAAAGCATTTTCTCAACGTTGAAAGATCCTGCAAAACATAGCAACAGTCACTGGAGTCTAACACAGGGGAAGGAATAAAGCATTAAAGACCCAGAAGTAATTATGCTAACTATAGAGAAAACTAGAGACACTAAAGGTAACACAAGTGTTTCATGAAAAAATGAGGACCAGAAAGTAGCCAAGAAATGTTAAATTTCTCCTTTGTGTGTCATTAGGCCATCCATCAATTTCCTGCCATTAATCTTAGCCAACCAGTCCATAAATAACAACAACAATAATAATAATTTGCCCCACCAGCAGATAGAGCAACTGGCTGATATCCAGAAATCCTACCGCTGGCTGGACAAAGCGGGACCAAAACAGCTTGTCCCTGTGCCGCCATGATTAGTGCCTCTGTGCTAATCATGGCACTACAAGATCCATAGAGGTTGGGGTCTACTTCCCCAGACAAGACCCCAGGTGCAGGCTGTGTTAAGATGCCTCTGTGACAATCCAGCACATGTGGCTGTAGCTCAGGCGGTAGAGCAGGTCATCTACTGATCCTGGTTCAATTCCTGGCTTCCCAAATATCCTTGGGTAAGATATTAACCAGATGCATCCATCGGAGTATGAATGTGTGTGAATGCTACTTAGAAAAGCACTTAGAACAATGTGCTTGTGTGAATGGGTGAATGCACAAGTTGTGTAAAGCGCTTTGAGTGCTCAGAAGAGTAGAAAAGCGTTATATAAGAACCAGTCCATTTACCATAACAGCAGGGTGTAAGATGCTAGCAGACAAGGGCATACATGGAACGCCATAACCAAGCTTAGTATACAGAAACATCTGTGCCGAGTATGCCCTGATGATACTTCCAGATACAGATGGACAAACCAGTGATGGCTAACCAACTGGGCATAGTGGTGGTGGACAAGCAGAGGAAGACACCTGTAGCGATACCGAATGACAGCAACATCAGGAAGAAGCAACATGAGAAGCTGGAGAAGTACGAAGGGCTCAAAGAAGAACTCAAGAAGATTTGGAGGGTGAAGGTAACAGTGGTCCCAGTGGTAATAGGAGCACTCGGTGCAGTGACCCCAAAGCTAGGCAAGTGGCTCCAGCAGATCCCGGGAACAACAGATCTCTTTCCAGAAGAGCGCAGTCCTAGGAACAGCAAAGATACAAGCTTCCAGGCCTCTGGTAGACGACCCAATCTTGAAAGAATAAAGACGGCTCACAAGGACAAGAGGGGATTTTTTTTTTAAATGCACACACACAGAATCCCTATTATAGGAATGTATTCACTGTTGACAAATTTGATTTTAAAAAAAAGCCAGTTAACTGCTGAACCACACATGCAATGTGTTATAATGAAAGTACTACAATTGGCATGATGTTTTTTGTTCACTACCTTAATCTACCTGATGTTTTGGACATTAGCTCATCACAGAAGGTTTAGACTCATTTTCAGAAAATTAAGGGCAATACGAGGCTCATTGTTCCAGTCAGGCTGCTCTCTGGAGAATGTTTAGGCCTTTTTCATCACAGTGGAACAGCAGTTATTGTTACCAGTGTTTGAAGTCTGACATTGTTATTGTTGCTCTGATTACCACATAAGCACACACAGACAATCACAGTATTCAGAAATACAAACGAAATGTAGAACATCAACACAACTTTTAGAACGCCACATGAAAGTGCTTCAGTAACAACAAATTTCCCGCCTACTATACACTCATGCTCCTCTCCTACCAACCTTATGCTCCCTAGAGAGGCTCTTGTGTAGGGTCAGACAGCAGTCCCCCATTGATGTTAGCATGTATGAAGGTGAAATTACTGCAGGCTTGCTCCACCCACCCTCTGTGAAAGACACTTCAAGAGGAATCTATGATGAGCGTGCCCATTTTAGCTCGCTTTCCTTCGCATCATCTTTGTTTTCTTCTTGTCCTGCGTTGCTCTGCTCCCTCGAGGTGTTACCATTAACTGACCCTTTACATGTAAGAGGGGGAAAGAACAACTGGAAACAAAATGAAGCCCCATGTTTACAGCTCACAGTTTCTCAGCTTCCTGTAAAAAAAAAAAAAAAAAAAAAGAAGAAATCCTGCTTACTCTTTCCTTAATCTGTAATGTTCCATTACTGTTCTTCGAAGGCGGGGGATAGAAAATGTCCTCCACACAGGTTCTTTCAGACTGCAGGAACTTATCCATAATTCTAGTAACTGTACAAGATAGTACCTGGTATTTTTTCCTGTGTGTACACTGCTGGACCTGGGAACCATTCTACTTTTTGGTGCTACGTTTTTGTAGTCTTACTCATCTTGCTTAATATAACGTAGGTGCATTATAACTGGTGTAGATAAGTGTATGCTAATTGGTCATTAAATGGACAAAAAGGCGTAACGCTAACAAAAACAAGAGCTCTTAACATCAACCTTTAAAAAAACACAACTAAATAACCTGAAATCTATTAAAAAAGCCAGAGGAAATTATAGTTTTGACAGGTAAGAGCAAAATAGAGAACACTTCACAAAAAGCACAGAAAGAAAAGGAAGAGGCTGAAAAAAAATGAAAAGACCACAACAAGGCGACACTGCATTACCAACCACTACCCAGCAACTAGTACTTCACTTCAGAGTTCCTGTTAGTGCAAATGTCAAGAGAAAAATGCCTTCGATCTACATGATTTCCATGTAGTGGAAGGTATGTAGTTACTGTCCAGCATCCACTTAGTCTTACATAATCAGCACAAAAAACACTGATCAAAAAGCACCTACTGAGAAGAGCTACATCACCTTCCAATTCAACTAAAGATATTCTGTAAATCACCAAAAGACGTCATTCCAAGCTGATGTGTGGATTTTTTAGTAATCGTCTCACTTTTCATTATCCAGACTCCAGCAGAGAAGACATTTAATTGCAATCAGTCCCTAAGTTGAAAAACGTCATTTACTGTACCTGCAGCACATCTGGTGCATACTGCAGCAACTACGCGACAAATGGCACATTTTAAGCATTAAGCCATTACGCTGTTCTAAGAGGTTTCTTTATTTCAGCCGAATTTGATTTGGTTTTCACCCTCTTTCAAAGCAAGCGATAAATGGAGCACAGATAAACTGGCATATTGTTCAAGCATTAGCCAGGGTTCTGCTAAACTTATGATAAAGAGAGCGTACGCCTAAAGGCAAAGCTCCTGCTTTCCTGGTGAGTCTAGTGTCCAAGTCTAATCAGTGAAAAATGAGACTGCAAATCCAAGCAGTTACTCTTTCTGCTTGGAGAGGTAATTTGGGAATCTGATGAGTTTTAGAGTGTGACATGTTGCACTGCATGAGCTGCAGAGCAGTTCTACTTTCCTGCACCGCTACAGTGTAACTGCACTCTCCATGTATCACAGGATGGTGTGAGTTTTTATCATGCTGCATGAGCTAACCTCTGCATGTGAAACATCCTTTCTGGATAGCAGAAGAGGCCTCCAAAAGCTCCCGTGTGAAGCTCTTGTTTCTTCATTTTGATCCAGCTAGACAGAAATACAGTGACATTGCAAATAACACAAAGATCACTGTGTAAAACCAAATCCATTTCTCTAATAATAGATTCACTTTCTGGTCCAATAATTCAATCAGAAATCCTGAAAAGTCAAGTAAATAGCAGGCAACCACTCCAGTTAGACCGGCTGACAGCTGTTGTCAGCCAAATTGCAGTGGACAACTAACACATAGTGCCTGCCTCTAAGAGCTCAGCGCGACAGCTTGACCACTGTGTGACTGTTTGACTGATTCAAAGTCACAGTGGCCTGACATGATGGACAGAGCAGGAGAAAAAGGCTGACAGGATGGGTGACATAGGGGAGAATGGAAAAAAATAACAAGAGATCGTATTTTTGGCTCCAGCCACCACTTCTCCGTCTCTGCATCCCAATTCAATTGAACTTTCTCATGTCAGTTTTACCCGTTTCTGCTCCATCTGCTGCAGCTGGTGTCTCCCCCCCCCCTCCCACTTTTTTATTATTTGGTACATAAAGCGGCTCTATCAATGATATTAGTGGATTTAGCAGAGTGCAACTATTCTCAGTTCAACGCAGCAGAGTTCAGGATGGAGAAAGACAGACTGTAGGCTACATTTTCTTCTCAGGCGCTCTCCTGAGCTTAGATAGTGGGTCAATAGAAACAGAGGCACAGCACTATTCACAGCCGCCTTTTCCTGCACTAATCTGCCTATTCAGCAGCACAGTTAGGCCCTTGAATATATGAGAAAAGGGGAAAAAAGAGAGAAATACAGGTACTGTAAGATGTTAAGTCTTTCAAGAGTAAAAATAGAAAAAGCAATATGACAGACAAAGAGAGAAAGGAAGACTTCAAAGACAGTTTTGATAAGAAGCAGAACCAAGTTTCTAAAATGAATTATGTGTGAAAACAAGTAGAAGATTGGCGATACATCAGTGGTTACAGAATTGTTAAGAACGGAGCCCAAGGTAACACCTCTTTGTTAACAAAAACAGATTTGCACAGTAAGACAAATGTTGTAGGCATCCATCCATCCATACTTGTTCCATCCATCCATCATCATCTTCTTACCCAAAGTCAGGTCATGGTTGCAGAAGTCTAAGAAGATATTGTGACCAATGTTTTTGGCTTCTCGTGTAGCATCCTGAGGCATTCCCAAGCCAGATACATCATGTAATCCTCCAGTGAGTTTGGAGTTTAGATCTAGGGGCTTTGCAGGAAAACATGCACAGATGCCAAAAGTACCACAGCTGACTATTTTCTCAGACAGCAGCTTTGTGTTGTGCTCTCTAAAGTTGGATACACCCAAAATGAAGTTCAGATAAAGTACATTTTCATTCTCTTGGTCATAATATAGAGGTAATGACTAAACGTGAAAAGTGGAATACAATCTTGCCTTCTGATTCATGTTTGAAAATCATTTGGTATCATACCACTATTACTTACCATCATTCGCAGATTTCCAGATCTGAAG